ATAGTGCACTATTAGCACCTGCACTCAAGTTTGTTGAATGGTAATGAATTTTTCATACAACCATACCAAAAACGTTGTGCACCCTAAAGTCTTTCAAAAAATTGGAATTAAATAAGGTTTTTTCGAGTACACTTTCATTTCCTCAAATATGATTTATTCTAATGTTGTCGTTGTGCATTGATTAAAAATTGTGTTAGAAATATATTTACTTGATTCCGGAGAATATATTACACTGAAAAAAATCGAAATCGACAAAAATTTTGTTTAACCCCGTGCGTCGCACGGGTGAAAATACTAGTGTATATATATATAAAGTAGGGTTCTTTGCCTGTTGCCATGTGTCATTACACGTAGGACGCCACACAGGACATTTTAAGCTTATTTTGGACATTTTCTCATTCACATAAATTCTCTTTTTCCTTCCATTTGTCGTTCATCTTCCCATTTCTCCAAATCTGTTGTTGCCACCAATCGATCAACTTCCCATTTCTTTACCAGCAGAAAACTCTTCCTCACCAACCATTAACCTGAAACTCTGGGAGACATTGAGAAAGGCGAGACTTTCTCTCTCTAGGGTTTGAGACGCCGTAACATTGTGCGACTCCCTTAGATTTGCCATTCCTCTTGAATATGTGGATCATTTTTTATGATTTTTGTTTATCTTGGAGCGAAATTAGAAGCTCTTTCATAATCTCAATTTTTCGCTGAAGAATTGGGGCTGAATCGTGGTGAATTGCAGATTCAAATCGTGCACTCACTGTTCATCTTCATACTTCGCAGGTACAATTTCATCTGGGTTTTTACAAAATTGAAGGCCAATTCTTGGGTATTTTGAGCGACTTGCTAGGCCTAATCACCTTCTAAAGTTTGTTGATCAATCCAAACAAAGATTCGTGGCTTTTGGATGAAATTGGAATTTCGAGACACTGTTCACAGTGTGAATCTACCAGCGATGCAATAGTAACTTACACGGCTCTCTGGTTTATACACTTTTCATTGAAAGATGCAATCACAACTTTGCTCAACTTATTCAGCCTTCTCCCTCGCTTTCTGCTTTGTCTGGCAGGTATTCTTTTGGCCTTTGATATAATTTACATAATCCATGATCTGTAAATTATTATAACTTCACTTCCTTGAAAAATCCTCCAATTTTGGTTAGAGTTTTATAGTCTGATGACATTGGTTCGCGTAATGCTCATAAGATAAAATTTAACCGGTTTGAATCTTTATGGAGGGTATCTGCATAGAGGTTCTTTGAAATCAAACTGGGGAAAAATGACTTGGATACATTTTAGGTACAACGATTCTGAAGGTGTTGAGTTTTATGTGATTTTTAGGTAATTTAGATGGCCTTGCTCGACAAGAAGATTCTTACAGAAACGTGTCAAGGTTTACAAGAGTCCTGCTCAATGACAGATATGTCTCTCCGAAGGTTTGCCTCATTTGATTCTTCTTGAACTTCTGAACTATCTTAAGGACAAAGACAGAGATATGGGTCTCATTCTCATCTTATCCAATGAAGGTATTTCTGATGAGGTGAACAACTCTTTAGTTAAATTTACGTCTGCATCCTCTCAATTCCATCATTTCTATGGAATACACTTAGTAGTAGGTGTATCCTCACTGCAAATTGACTCAACTAATGGTATACCTTTTCAAGTACAAAGTATTTTTCTTCTTATTTTAGTCATTGCTCCTCTTTTATTTCTCAAACTACAGGACCAAACAAGTCCTCCCAATCTATATAAGAGTCATTGCAAGCACCTACTTCAACCTTTCCGGTAAGGTTTCAAATTTTAATATTTTCACGAATAGCAACCAGTTTTTTGACTAAATGTATACTTTGACCACACCATTTAGGTTTTTAGTCCAGATAATGCGGCTATTTTAGTCTCAATTTAGGTATATATTTTGCCTAAATGCATACTTTGACAATATAAACACTGCACCAGCTAATGTTTGTTTCCATTGTCTAAGCATCAGAGCTAACCTATAGTACAAGGACGGCTTTCATCACTGCTTACATGCGTCTGTGGTGCACTGCTTCTGTGATCTTAGATGATTATGTAAAAATAGGTTGGCTCAGTGCATCTTTGGAAGTGCTCACTTTGTTTATGTTGTCATCAGTGCTGATTTTTCTATCAAACACGGTCACATGGCCATGACTAACAAAATGCATACTTCTTATCCCTGCTTTTACTCCTCCCGACATATATAGCAGAAATTTCCCCTAGATATTATCACATTATAAAGGCATCTACAAAAGAGATGTAGCGAGAATGACCGGATCCTAAATCAACCCCGTCAAAGCACATCAGCACCATATACCAAGGTATGGGCTACCAATCATTTGTTTTTATAACTTTTTTTCATATTTACATATAATGGCTAAGTTTTGTTCTACATGTTAATATTCGATATATTCATTGTTCAATTCTTTGAGTGTCTAATATCTTGAGATGATGATGGATCTCTTCAAAGTTTTGTAAATTTTCTAAAGATCAATTTAAACACTGCATAGAAAAATCATATGTTCCCTGTCAAAGATATATAAAAACTGGTTGAATGAAGTTCATTATTTTTGCTAAGTAGGCTAAGAAGAAAAAGGGTAGTCTGCCGTTGTCTTAGCTTGAATGCCACATAGAGGAGAAAATGGGGGTATTTTAAGTTTGTACATATTAAGATACTAATGTGTTTGTAATGATCTAAGTTCTTATGTATTGAGCAGCTTATTGCAACACTGTTTTTTTCTCTACTGCACCAGTATCAGCACTATGAGAGAGTGGTTTAAAATGGAGTATAGTTAATTACAGCACATTAAATATATATTCATTATTTTGTTTAAGTTAGTTGTACATTATGTATTTGAGATAAGTAGCACTTTCCAACTGAAATTATAAAATTACTTTTGTGGCCATTTTAGTTATATTAAAAGTTGATTACTACTCATTTATGATATGATTTTTTAATGCCATTTTAACCAACTTCATTTCTTTTCTACTACCTTCGTCCCTGAGTATTTGTTCAGTTTTGACTTTTTCCGGTTAACTATTTTTAATCTTTGATCTATAATTAAATAAAATATATATGAAGTTCGTTATTCTTTTTAATGTGTTTGTTGCATTTGGATTGATACAATATTTCTTTGAGTTACCTCTTAATAGATTATTACAGAGTAGTATATTGCTTTGAGTTAGCTTCTGATTATACTACTGCTCTGCCATGATGATATTGCAGTGAGCTTAAATTACCATTTCCTGTGTGGCTGTGTGTGGGTTTTTTATGCTGGTATGTGGCTACACATTAGAGCTAATGGCAATACCTTATTCAATGTAGCCTTGAGACTATTTTATTCTTGGATTTGTGGCTACACATTACGGTTAACCAATTCTGTCTTTCTTACTTGCCTATTCCTATCAGCAACTTATTGGCTACTATACGTACTACTTTGCATAGAGTTTTAGATTGCAACTTAGTCCACATTAGAAATTGTTTATGATGGCAGTTTTGGCAATAGCTTGAAAGGATAACATTTACAAGATGCTGCAGATTTTCCCTCTTATTCTTTATTGAAGGAGATGGAGTGTTTATTTGGTGCTGAGCTTTTCCCTCATATTCTTTATCTGGTGGTAATACTCGAGACTCCTAATGCAAGAAAACTTGACTTCATTTTTAACATTTCGTGTTCGGTAGGTTGGTTAGCCTGCACTACGACTGGTTTGGGATGTTGATACTCTTATACTGTTTTTAAGGTTTTCAATCTTTACTTTTGCTTCTTTCTCCTTTGAGGGGATTTGTTGAGGATCTCCATCCTTTTGAACTATGTACTATTTTTTCTTTTTATTAAAACTCTCCTTACTTACATACACACCTTAAGATATAGTGAAAAATGTATACGTAAAATTTATGAATCATATATTCATTTAAAAAAATTTTGAATTTATAGATATATTTTACGTGAGATTATACGAGCCCGTGCGAAGCACGGGGTAAAAAACTAGTATAACTATATATTAGCTTCTTAAACTATTTAGAGAGTAATTTAAAAAAAAAATTCAAATTACTTAAAAAAGACCTATGTTTATACGGAGTATAATATAGTTATATTGTTGATTTTTAAAGTAGTTCAAACTTAAATATAATTAGTATTATTTATTTTTTATCTTAAAAAAACTATAAATAATCTATACTTAATGTATTATCTTTTATCTTTAAATTATTAATTATAATTTAATATGTTGCTTTTTTATATTTTCAATCATTTTAATCACCTAAAATATAAATTTTACTCTCTAAAATGTAACTAGTAAATAAGAATTTATTATCTTTTGTTTATTTTTAAAAAATATAAGTATTACGTTATAATTTAAGTATGTGTCAGACATTCACTATTAATTTTTAATAATAATAAAATTAATAGAAAAAAATTGTGAAATAATATATACACAATGATATTAAACTAGAAGGAGAAGTAAAAACACAAGCTAAATACTTTTTTAACTAAACATATCTAACGGTATAATATAAAATATTAGCATTTTAATTATAGTTTGACAGAGTCGTTGACCCGAGTTGACCCCGGTTCAACCGGTTAACCCTTGACCCAGTGCTTTGTCCGAGTCGACGTCCGGTCCGGTTTTCAAAACATTAGACAAAAGTGCAGATTGTGATGGTTGTGTCAATGACTTGAAAAAAATCAGTCCTTTTTGTGAAAAAAATAGCTGCGTACAGTTTTTTTTAAGCAATTGCAAAAAAAAATATAAAAGAATAAATGAGACCATGAGAGGGAGCTCAGATTATGAGTGGTGATATAAAGCACAGTGGAGTCCTAATCATGCGTACATGATCATAATTACCTAATACAAATCATCCCCAGTCTAATTAGGAGAAAGAGTGGAAATGATTTGATTAATTAAGTCATTTATTCCTATTTAGGGGAGTTTAAGTTTGAACTCTTATTTTTAGGATATGATATATGTTTTACTCCTATTTTGGTCCTTCTCCCAATAAATATCGGACCGGACTTGGACCGATCCTGCTATTTGACCCAAAAAACAATCCCAAATGTTTATTTGGAGCGGATTAGTCTTGAATTAATTACAAAAAAAGTCAAGATTAGCCTCATCATGAATACAAAGTACTACTTCCGTCCCAGAGTATTTGTCCACTTTCATTTTTACACACCATCCAATGCACTTCTTTAATCCATTTTATCTTGTAATTTGTATATTAAAAAATTATAGAAATTATATATTAATAATCTATATGTTAAGACAAATCAAACAAGATCACACATTACTATATTTAGGCTTACAAGATCAAAGTGTTTAAATGAACAGTTGCAAAAGTCAAAACTGGACGAATACTCCATGACGGAGGGAGTAATAATTTACTCCCTCCGTCCTCCTAAGATGTTCTCATTTTGACTTTTGGTGATTTTTAAGGAGAGTTGAAAAAAGGTGAAAGTTTACCATAATACCCTTAATGAAAATGGATGGAGTGTATTAAATGAGGTGGGTGAGGTGTAATAAATAAAGTAAGTGGGGATAGTTATGGTATTCAGCGATTCAATTGAATACTAGATAAAGTTTTTTTAACGATGCCACTAGGCCACCAATTTCACACCTTACCTAACGGTGCTACAATATACCCTTTCCTCGCATGGATTGAACAAATTTAATTTCGAGCTTACCTAAAATTATACTTGAAGTTATTTTATATAGTTTTTTTTTGCACAGTCACTTACCACTTAAAATATTATCATCACCAATTTAAAAGAGCGTAGTTGGAACCCCTTTACAATATATTTTTTTTGTTTTGAGCAACCCTCGTTTAGTTGATTCATATACATAATTTGTTTTTGTATTAATTAATAAGTTGTTAGAAAATTAATCTCACTAAAAGTATCATAATTATCAAAACTTTTGACTTCTTAAAAGTAACCTTTAGAAGCTACTTTCTTCAAATTTAATCTAACGTCGGTCTACATCACTATCTATTATATATATTTTTCTAAAAATAACTTATTAGATAGTAATCTCTCACATAGCCTAAATATATGGCAACTACCTGCAAAACTGTCTTATTCAAAAATTCTTTCTTGTGAACCACTGCTCAATGTGATATTTATTATTAGCTGAGTAAGTTCATTAAGTAGCTTATAATTTATAACTTTTTTTCATTTGCTTCAAGTTATGTGTATTCACCAAAATACTTTGGTTTAGAGTTAATCCTAATGAAATCCTAATGATTCAATCCATAATATTTGTTTTCATTTTCTTCGTTCAACAATTATTTGTTGGGAACATTCCATTCTAGGCATGAGATTTTACATACACTTTACAACATGGTGGTAGTTATAAATCTTCAACTGTGAGATGTTTTTTTCTTTCAATATATAAAATTTAGCGAATCAATTACATATCTTGTTATTCTCTTCTAGAATATTTACGTTGTGTGATTCATCCCATACTATTGAGCCACCTTGTAATTCAATATTAAGCATTAATTAGTCTTTGGTGGCGTGATGCTACAATTTTGAGAAAACTAATTATCTTTTATCTTTTGAGAGTCTCAGCACAACAAATTTGGTCTGAAATTAATCAAAAACAACTTTGAGGATAATTGTGAGTTATCCATTTCCCTCAAGTTGGCACCGGGCAGCTAAGTTCATATCTACATTCTTTTATAACACCTTTTGTTTTCCTTTCATATTTACATTATTTATATGAACCAACTACCAGCGTGTTAAATCTGACTCCGGTGATTGAAACTTTCAACTGTGACTATGTTTTTTTTTAACTCTTACACATGTTATCAACATGTAATATAATATATTTTTTTCTCACAATTATTAATATAACATGATCGCACTAGTCATCATGGATATTTATGGATTATGACTTAGGCTCGTTTGATGAGTTTTGGAGATGTGATAAGACATGAGTTTTTTTTAAATTTGAGAGGAGATGATATGAGTTTTGAAATCTAATTATGAATAGTAGCAAAACAGTGACCAATCCACCGCTGAGGGCTTTGCCAAATTTTATTGCAGAGGAACGTATAGGAAACTAAACGCTGAGCATGGGTTATGAATAGAAAACATATTCCTCGGCCGTCATTGTCGATGATCCAGATCCGTACTAGAAACACAAATTTCCCGTTGCCCTATGGGAAGGAGACATAAGGTTGGGTGCAAAGATAAGAGGATTTTGATGTGTTGAGACAGAGTTTTCCCATCTCCATCTCCTTCGATTTTGATAACGTCTTTCTCGTTTTCGAAAGCGGTGAATTAAGATTGAAAATTTCTCATATCTCTAGCTTTCAAAATTAAATTCCTTTTAAGTTCACCAACACCAAAATTAGGACTTTGATATGCGAGATATCAAAATCCACATTGTTTCCTTCTAACCAAATACAACCCTAATTTAAGATTCACCCTCCAAATTCACTACACATAAATATTTCTTTATTTAACTTATTAACCAACAAATAACTAAATATTAAAGACAACAATTAATTATCACATAAGAAACATTAAGGATTCAGAGTTACCTCCCGGAGCAGCGATGCAGTGAAGCTGTGGATGCTCAACACATGTATATACAATAATAGTTTTTTTTTCCAAAATTCGTAACATCACTTTTTTTTAAATTGGTAAATCATTTTTTTTTGTTTTTAAACAAAATAGTTTTTTTTGAAATTGATAACTTTTTAAAAAAAATAAATAAATAAATAAAAAGAGTTTTTATAAGTTTAATTATTTTGGCAAAGAATCGTTTTTAAAACCACATTCTCTGATACCAAAATGTAACACCCCAACCCGCGTAACCCTAACCAACGGGTTAGCGGATCGGGTTGTCACTAAGTTGATATTCGCAAGCATAAATTTTCTTTTCTAAAATAACAATTAAATCAATTATAAAATTCGTCTGTAGAGTTTTAACTAAACCCAAATTCATCAGAATAATTAAATAAATCCAAACGTCGCGGAAGCATACGAAAACCAAGGTAACGTCCACCAGTCCATATAATCAAATTAAATAATGTAGTTTAATTATTAAAGTAAACAAGAGCCATCCACGCCACACCACCACTTCACTGCCATCCGGGTTGCACATCCAAATTTGTGTTCCTACCTGCGTGCAGTCAAACAACAACGACTACACGCTCAGCAAAACGCTGAGTGAAAATATACCTAAGCCAGCATTAACTCACAGAATAGCACCACGTTAACATACAATCAACAACAGCATGTGATCACGGAGGAAAATAGCTTAAATAAACATATTTATATTAACACCTTCCATTTGAACATCATGTCCTTATTTTATTCCACATCAACTACTTTGAGTCATGGCACCCCAAGCGATGCTATAAAAGGGCCAGCTCAGAAACCCAAAGGAGATTCACTTTGGGCGGGTTGAAGCCCCTGTCCCTGCGATGCCAGGACAGGTCGCGGACTTCCGTACGTACGTTTTTAACCCAAGACCACCGGGGGTGCGATGACGCCCCGCAATGGCCAATTTCCTAACCACATCCTAGTTGTAATTCAATCAGTCAATCCAATTCAAGTCCGCCTAGTCACACTAGGTGGCCTATTTCTCATAGGTAGTGTTTGGCAACTAGCATTTCATTTTAATTCATGCATTTCAAATCCAAAATTTGAAATCCTGAATTTCAAATGACAAGGGGAGGTGCATGGATTTTAAATTAAGCTTGGTTTTGAATGTAAAGAATTTGATTCAAATCCAAATTCAAAATGCTTAAGTTTCCCAAACATGGAATTTAAGCCAAATCCGGATTTGAAATCCAAATCCATGTTCCCAAACATACCAATATATTATTCGTAATCCACAATATTCACCAATAAGATCAGTTTAATTTAAATCTCAGTTCACAATTCACAACAAATCACGTAGCAGCCTATCCGGGTCGAAGACCCACGATTACCGTCATGCATAATCAACAACCTGAATTACAATTAACCCAACTTACCTGTGCGGAATCGAGACTAAGGAATCAATCCTCGGGCCCGCTGCCCCCGCCGGAGCAGTCCCCATCGTCGCCGGAACAACCCCAGCACCCCCGCCGGTAGCCGCCCCGGCTGCCCAAACCCAAAGCCAGACCAAACAGCCCCGTTGGGTGGTTCACAGCAACCCGAACAGTACATCAATTAACTTAAAATAGTCCAATCACATCCAATTGCACCCAATTGAATCTAAATAGCCCAATCGAACCCGATTGAACCCGTTTGGACCCAATTGAACCCAATTGGACCCAATTAGATCCAATTGGATCCAATTTGTCCAAATCCAGATGCTGCCCTATTCCGGCCACCTCGCCACCGCCGTTGCCGGCGGTCGCCGGAGGAGATGACGGAAAACAGCCCCAACACAAATTTCATAATTTCAACACAACATTCACAATTCTCATTCAAGTCGAAAGATTATACGCTAAGGAAGTTCTAATCTACGAATTAACGCTAACAGAAGGTATAGAAACCACAAATCACCTCGAAATTTGACGAATTCGAAACTTAATCGAGGAAGAAGAACTGCTGCTGCACTCCCTGGCTCGACGGATGGATAGCGCGCGACGGCAAAAGGAGAAGAGGACGTCGGCGGCAACCTAGCGGTGGCTCTGCTCGACGTCTCCGGTCAGCGTCTGCGATCGGCGTCCCTAGTTAGCAGCTTTCCCAGCGGAAACGTACGTCCCTAGTCAGCAGCTTTCCCAGCGGAAACCTACAGCAACGGAAGAGGGAGGGAGAGAGTGCGTTAGGCGGATAGGTTCTGTAACCTCCCTAGGCTTTTAATATATAATTAAATATATGTAGGGTCCACTTTACACTACCTAACCAATTTGGATAAGTTTAACTCCAATTACTTGATTCGTCAATTATATCTTGGACCCAATAAATCCGATTCACAATCCGCTTACACGATCGGGTCCAGGACAGCGAGCTCTATAACGTAGGATAAAACCCCATTAATCAAGACATATTAGAAATTAATCTCCGTATTGACCGGCCCAATAATTAAATAATTTTATAAATTAATTAAAATATTAAGCCAGATTTCGGGGCGTTACATTAATAGAATAAGATATGCTTCCTTTGTCCCAAACTAAGTTGTTTGTTTACTATTCACATTGTCAAATTTTATTTACTTTCTTTCTCTATTTTTGTTAGTTATTTGATAATATAATATAGTCATTTCACCGCTAGTTTTATAGATTTTTTGATCTAATTTTTAAATATATAATATATAATTTCTAATTTCAAATCATTTTTCATATTAAATAATTTGAAAATAATTTTAATCAAATATCCTAACTCTAAACAAGTTACCCGGATTATTTAAATTGGGATTACTTGGGAGTTAAAATGTGATGTGAGGAAGTGAGAAAGAATAGTGAGTCAAACTCCGGGATGTGGTCCGATCAGTCCGCCTCTTTTTGTTATTAGCTCCCCTTCAGTCACTCACTCTCGCCGCCGACGCCATCTTCTTCCCATCTTGAGAGAGAGCTAAGCTGAGCTAAGGTCTCTGTTCATACCTGTGAACCAGATCGCGAAGAGGATCTTTCCAGGTAGCTTCTTCTATGTGTTTCTTGACTTATCCTTCTAGCTAGGTCAATTCCTCTAGATTTCTGAAATTTAATTCCCTCAAATTAGCCCCAAATCCGTCTCTTGTGTAGTTGGATTCTTATGAACATTTTCTGAACAGTGTCCTCCTAAGAAGTTAAAATTCATGGGGTTTAGGGGTATTATTGCCAAAAGCATGGCCAGTTTCTCTGGAAAGGGAAGGCAGACATAGTCTCCTCCATTGGAAGAAAGCTACTTTTGGGGACTACCTATGAGCTTGTTCTCGTGTTGTCTGATCTGATTTGATCTGGTTTTGTTAAGGTCTGATTTGATTGTAGTTAGTTATATTTAAAGCTGTTTCTGGTGTGATCTGATCTGATTCCAATAAGAATACTTGATTAGTAATAAGAATATGTTGTCTATATCTCCATGTTTAGGGTATCTAACCTTTCTAGCGCTCATGAAATTTGCCTAAAGAAATGAGTTGTTTTGATAGGTCCACCACAAGTTAATCTTGGGTAATAAGCCTTTTTTTTAATTCCAAGATGCCCAGTGATATTTTCCCTTGCCTCCCCATAACAATGAAGCCTTTTTCCAGGGGCATGATGGGTTTAGGAAGGAGATTTGCTTCCAAAATGTATAACGGTATAGACTATAGAGGATATGACATGCTTTATAAGACACTTGTCCTAGTTGATTTGAGGGTACTTTAGCCTAACTAGGGTTAGGGACTTGATGGTAGTTTCATGACTTTCATCTATCTTTTACTCCTATTTAGGTACTTTTCTCCCAAGGATTTCCCCTGAGAAAGGCTGGGAGCAATTTAAAACATGCTCAAGCTCATCATTCCGAGAGACGTCTCGACCGTCTCTAGGTCATTTCTTGCTCGAGCATTCGATCGGAAACTCTCGATCCCGGCAACGCAGAGGAAGCTGGAAGGGAAGGTGGCGCTGATCACGGGGGCAGCCAGTGGCATTGGGAAAGAAACCGCAGCAAATCTCATCGCCCACGGCGCCAAAGTGGTGATTGCCGATATCCAAGAGCAGGCCGGGAGGGACGCCGCCGCGGAGCTCGGCGAAAACGCCGCCTTCGTGGCATGCGACGTCTCCGACGAGTCGCACGTCTCCTCCGCCGTGGACCTCGCGGTGTCCCTCCACGGCCGCCTCGACATCATGTACAACAATGCCGGCATTCCGTGCCGGACCCCACTCAGCGTGGTTGACCTCGACATGGCAGACTTTGACCGAGTGATGTCGGTCAACGCCCGCGGCGTGGTGGCGGGGATCAAGCACGCCGCCCGCGTCATGATCCCCCGCCGCTCCGGGTGCATACTCTGCACCGGGAGCGTGACGGGTGTGATGGGCGGGCTGGCCCAGCACACCTACAGCATCTCGAAGTCCGCGGTGATCGGAATCGTGAGATCCGCCACGGCCGAGCTCTGCAAGCACGGGATTAGGATCAACTGCATTTCCCCTTTTGCCCTTCCGACGGCCTTCTCCCTCCCGGAAATGAAGGAATACTTTCCGGGCGCCGACGATGGGGTCCTCGCCGGAATGCTGCACGAGTCCGGGGCGCTGGAGGGGGCTCGCTGTGAGCCCGGCGACGTCGCGAAAGCCGCCGTTTTTCTGGCCTCAGACGATGCCAAGTACATCAGCGGACAGAATCTGGTGGTGGACGGCGGGTTTACATCAATCAAGAGTTTGAATCTTCGGATGCCGGATCAAATTTAAGTTGATGGGGAAATCATGATTTCTGGGAATTTTAGTGCTTAAAAGAGAATATTGGAGTAATACTACACAATTGGTCACATTTGGGAGTATTAGTGCAAATCTTTCCTTAAATTTCTCTAATTATAATGATTAATGTTAATGCAAGTGACTAGTCAACCCGGCTTTCTTTGGACAGATTCGGTGTTTATTGTTTTAACTTGTATTTGAGCCCGGTTCTATGGCCACAGGATTCCAGTGGCCACAGAAGTCACTATCCCCTACGGAGCTCCGTTCATAAAATTGATGATTCCTACCTCTCCTAACCCCCCGGTAAACCCTTCCGCCAAGTCCCGACCCAAACTAATCACCCCACCTACGTCAATTGCACCTCGTAAGTATAATTGACTTTAAAGTTAAAAGTTTTGACTTTATACTTACGAGATGCAATTGACGTAGGTGGAGTGATTAGTTTGGGTCGGGACTTGAAGGGGGTTTACTAGGGGGTTAGGGAGGTAGGAATCATCAATTTTATGAACGGAGCTCCGTAGGGGGGCAATGGCTTCCGTGGCCACTGGAATCCAGTGGCCATAGAACCGGGCTCCTTGTATTTTAATTTCTTAGATGCGAACATTTGTCTCTTGTTTCTAGTAGGAAAAAGGACTAAAATAGAAAGTTACCTACAATTTCATTTGGTTTAAGGGCAATAGAAATGGGGTGATGCTGGGGGGCGTAACCCAGCGTTTAATGCAAGAACAGCGTCAAACACCGCCCCCTGCAGCATCATTAGGGCGTCACCCCGAGTACATTAAATGTTTGATGGGGAAGAGGAGCCATTGTTCCTTTTGTTGCCTTCAATTTTTTTTAAAAAGAATAATGTTACCTAGGAAAAAAGCAAGATAAAAATGGAGTATTTTCATCTAACAAAATAAATGTTAAAAGTACATCCCACATCGGAAGTTCAAGAGTAAAATAATCGGTATATAAGTTTTTGAGTTGAACTAACTAATCGATTGGATTCAATCTTTTAATGTGGTTCAACCCAAGTGTTTTATTGCCCAATCCAGTTATCTCTACCCAATCCTAAATTCTATCATGGTATCAGAACAGGTTTTGTCTCTACCAATCCTAAATTCTAATAATAATAAAAATAATAAAAATAATAATACTATTTCAAATTATTATAAACACACATACATACTTCTATGAAGAAAAAAGTGAATTGTTAGTATATTTAATAAAATGAATACATCTTTATTACTACATATTGTTTACAACATCTCACACAATGATAATGGTATTTCAATAAATAATACTTCATACTTTGTACGTAGTAGCAATATTAAACAAAACACATTTTATATATTAGTTGTTTTTTCATTTACACATTATAGTTATTATATCAAATATCTACCCCTTCCGTCCCAAAAAGCTTCAATTCTAATTATGACAACCAATAATGCAAAATTTTGCACTACATAAAAACAAACAAGAAACTACATAATGTAAAAAACAAAGCATAATGATAAGAAACACTCCCTATCACAACGACAATGAAAAATGTTGGCTAAACTAAAAGCAAAACAGACCTAGCCGCCGAGTTCAAGCTTTGCATAGTAAAATTTATCTCTAGGAACGACCGAGCAACTTCAACCTCGTGGCCAAGGATTCTGACCAATGACACAATGGATTCACAAAGAACTTGGCTTATGGTGGATCAGACTTCAGATCTGGGCGGATGGGGTGCGTGGACGCAAGGCTATGCGAGGGAATGGGAAAGAGAGATAAGGGGGTTGAGCGGCACTGTAAAAGCTGGAGCAACGCCGGTGAACCGGGTAAAGAGAGTGGGGGCAGAAGGTCGCCGGCGATGGCGACAAGGGCAAGAACGGCGATGCGATTGTGCGAAGAAAGAGAGAGAAAGGGGGAGGCTATGGGGCATTTTTACTTTATGCGGTTAGAAGTAATTGAAACAAAATGCAATTAATTACTCCTATTTAGAGCAGTTTAAGTTTAAGCTCCTATTTTGAAGATATGACACATGTTTTATTCTTATTTAGAGGGATTTCTTATATTTATTTTTAAAATTTAAATTTTTGGTCTTTAAAACATAAAAATTTTAAAAAATATATTTTTAATTGTTTAATTTCTTTGATTTATAATTCTTTGATTTATACTCCCTCCGTCCATAATTTATCTTTCGAGTCCTTATTTTGCAAGTCTTTTTCTTTAAACGACATCACTCACCTTTATCCATTAATTACTATGTATACCTACACTTTATTTCACTTTTTACAATGACCCAAAGACAAATATGGAAAGTTAAAACCTTTTTTATTTTTCTTTGATTTGCGTGTAAAGTCAAAGCGGGAAGTTTATTTTTAGACAGAGGGAGTATATGTTTTGATCTATAATGAGTATTTACGATCATAAAATCCAACTGCTCGACTGTCTATAGCCCAATATACTTTTGACGAGCGGAACCCACATTTTTAGTAAAATGGTCATAACTTCTTCAGTATTGTGGGTTTTTCAAAATTTACAAGATATATTTTTCCAAAATATTTATTTGATTATTTTACTAAAAAAATAAATTCCCAACGGAAAATATTTTTGTGTGAGCAAGATTGAATTTGGAAGATCGTTTTAAGCATGTCTCTAAATGCATATTGAACTTGTGAATATAGGCAGATCAGTTCACATTCTTACATTTGATTCCACATATATTCTACACTAGTTTGGTGTTTTAACTTTGTTCTTAAAAATTGTCACTTAATAGATTCTTGTTGTTCCTGAAACACCTGAACAAACATTAGATCATATATTATTTGTTAACATCAATACACAAGATTTAGCAAACCAAGGCTAACACTTAGGATGAAGACAAATAAGGCATCATGGTCGAACGAGTATCCTCGTCCGATGTCGGGCTTGGCAAAGGAAGGCGTGTATCAAAGACTACTCTGGTCTCAATTTTTTCCCGTCCTATTTCAATTTATCTTGATCTAGTTTTTGATCCAAGTCCTTTTCTTCTTCCCTAATCCACAACGCTTTCCACTCTTACACTAAAACTTATAATGCCAATAATATCAACATATAATACCAAAAAAATATTATAAAATGTTACTCCGTAATGTACAATATCACATTATGAGAATACAAAAGCCTTAATTTGGTTAATAAAACTATATCACTCTTATTTTAGAAATAAAAGATATATTTTACTCTTGTTTTGAATGATTTTCTTAAAAATAGTTTTAACGAGTATTTCAAAGATGTAAAATTATTTTATGAGTATTAAATAGTACTACATAGTTTTGATTGTGGGCAAGATCTAATGCAAACTTTTGCACTTACAGATGAATTGGTATGATACAGCACAAGGGAGAACTCTTGGCAATATAAATTAATCACCAAGTCCCTCATTGGAGCCGTGTCGGACAATAAAATGAGTCGGTAACATGGAAAACGTTTGCTTAATTTTTATGTGAGAAGTTCTAAAAAAATTCTGGACCTTAAGTGCACCAAAGTAACACTCTTCATTGCTTACACATAAAAAAACCACTCCGAAATCACTCCGTAGATCTTCTCTCTTTCCTTAGTTGAAGCAAATAGGGAAACCAAATTGTCTCATCAAAGCTTTTATTTTATGCTAAAATAAGTGCCACTTATTTATTTATAGATCAAATGGAGCAATTAATTTTCAGAAGAGAGCAAATGGAGGTCAATTGGATCATGGAGAATTGCCTTCACAGTTTCCATCATCCCTTGTGCACTGAAACCATCATCTTTGGCATACACATGCTGCAACACTTTGCTCATCTTCCAAAACACATCTCTGCAATCTCTTGGAATCACGCCGCCGTCCTGCAACACAAACCTCAGCACCTCTCTCCTTTTAGCACTGATCAAATTGGTTATCTCTCTCACACCTGCTTCTTCTTCCTCAGTCACACCCCCGCTGCTATGAGTAGCCAGCAATGACAGAGAATTTAGCTTCCCTTCTTTTGATTCCCTCTGTAGATTGAAGACAAAGGTGACTTCTTTATGACCCAAATTGAAAAAAATGTAAGGTGGTGTTTGGGAACTAGTATTTCATTCCAATTCTTGCATTTCAATTCCAAAATTCGAATTCTTGAGTCTCAAATGACAAGGGAGGAGGCATATGGAATTGGAATTATTGTTTGTGATGAATTAGAAGAATTTGTTTCAAACCCAAATTTTTAAGATTGCCAAACATGAAATTTGAGCCAAATCCGGATTTGAAATCCAAATTCTAGTTCCCAAACATGCCGTTAATAGAATTGCGTGTTTCAACTTCACCGGTTCTTGTACACCATATTCAACCTTAAGAGATTGATAGGAATAGCCCCATGGCTTTGTATGTTGATTTGTGTATTTTAAATTTGGCCAATGTGGGATGGTTTGACATGACTAAACAAGAACTTGTAGAATGGACAGACTCTAGGGCGTGTGTGTATCTACCTCAAAACCCTTTAAGTCATTTAGAAGACGGCCACAAGTGCTCAATGACTTGAACAGGCGGTGGTATTCGGGGTGCTGGATGATCTCCTCCGAGAGCTTTGGCCCGACTAAGTAGAGGGCCGGTAGGACAATTGGTCCTAAGGCAAAGGATATGTAAGCATTCTCCATGTACTCGTCCAACGTCGGCACGGACATCTCTTTTGTCCATTCAGCCTCTCTTAACATAGAATTCATCAAATCCAACCACTGCAACTCACAACAGAGTGTAGATCTCAGTCATCAATTGTATGTTCAGAAAATAAAAATAACACCAACAATAAAGTTATGGAGCAAAGACCTTCCTTTGATATGCATAAAAACATCAGAGCAAATAAATTAATTAGAAAGTAACGTTTGAGATTATTATTATTATTATTATTATTATTATTATTATTATTATTATTATTATTAGTAGTAGTAGTAGTAGTAGTAGTAATGGTAAATAAAAAGTCTTTGTATCTCACAATCTCAATTATGTGGCTAATCACATCACGCCCTTGGTATTTAAATGCTTTGTCTCCGATCTCAGAAATTGTGCTGTGAAGTGCAGAAAATATGATCTGAACTTGCTCTGAACAATAGTCAGTGCTAGCATTTACATCCCACCTGTGCAAGTCACAATAATTCACAGAAGAAGAATTTTAGCTATGTCAAGGATAGTGATTTAATTCAGGATAAGGTCTTCGTCATAAGACAAATGGGTCAAATCATACTAAAAGATTGAATCCAACTGATTAGCTAGGACGACCCAAGATCTTATTAACTCTTCATTTCCTAGTTATATCTCCATCATATCCGATGGAATCAGAGATTCACTACCTTTTGGCTTTGTGGTATGATAGAATAAAGTACAATGGCTCTTAAGTCTGCACTTCTTTGAATAATGAAGTACGAGTTAGTCAATACAACTTTCGGCACACATCATGGATCATCGGGAAGCAGACGCTCTATGTTCTAAACATAAGGGTCAGGCTGTATACATCCAACCCCCCCCCCCCCCACAACAGGCGGGAGCCTTTGAGACACTGGAATAATGTATGTGTTGAAAGACTAAACAAAGATTGGCTGATAAGAGTGCTTACTTTTCAAGCAAATGAATAAGGTTTCTTAATTCCTCCATAGAACCTCCAACATCAAAAAAGTCATCTACTACAGTAGTCAAAACACCATTTTGGGCCCATGAGAGACGTGCATCAGACAGTTCGGGTGGAAAAAGTGTTGCTGCAGCTGAAAAGTAACAGTATGCAGACTTTTGTCTGGCAAACTTCAACCTATCCAGTCCGCTTTTTACTACCCACCTATTTTCATCAATACAAATAACCATAAATATGGCATGAGTGAGTAAATAAATCATATCAAGAAGACAATGGGGGAAGGATATACAAAATGATTGACTTTTTTGAATGCCTAGAAGTATTTTCAAGTTTCAACTGATCCAACACTATTTCATTTCTATCAAAAGAATAAGGGCGGCCAACCAGCAAATAAGCACATCAGGGACCCACCTTTCAAGTTGTTTCAGTTCTTCATGATGTATAGATTGGCAAAGGTTGAAATCCTGAACAGCAAGAGTTAGAAAATCTTTATTGCAAAAGTTTGGAGAACTGCAGGTAACATAAAAGAAATAGAACCAATTTAGACAGTGAACTTTTCTGACAAGATTCAAGCAAAAATACATGCTTCACAGAGAAATAAAGAGCTCTACCCATATGAAGTCTTGGAGAATCTGGTACTATCTACATTGTAATGCTCTATGTACCTTCGGTTTGCAACTCGTTCTAAATTTGCATAGAAAGGAAAATTAAGCACGTCCTCCACCTATAAATGAGATAATAACTATTTACTTTTGTTAAGTTCAAATGTTCTAAAAACTGACTCAGCACAAATCTCTTGAAAAGAAGTTCAAAAAACCTGTTTATGAATCTGTCTAGNAAATACATGCTTCACAGAGAAATAAAGAGCTCTACCCATATGAAGTCTTGGAGAATCTGGTACTATCTACATTGTAATGCTCTATGTACCTTCGGTTTGCAACTCGTTCTAAATTTGCATAGAAAGGAAAATTAAGCACGTCCTCCACCTATAAATGAGATAATAACTATTTACTTTTGTTAAGTTCAAATGTTCTAAAAACTGACTCAGCACAAATCTCTTGAAAAGAAGTTCAAAAAACCTGTTTATGAATCTGTCTAGTATGGATATCTGAACATAATAAATCACTAGAAAGTTCCTCTCTCAAAATCTCAAACCACCTGTTATGTTTTTCAGAAACATATTCATCAAAATTACATATTATTTCCAGTGCTTGATAGAGATCCAGCATAGTATATACATCCATTGGATAACCAGCAGTAATATTGCAGATGCTCTCCTCCAGAAAGTGAGTAACTGGACCTGTAGTCCAGAACTGATATATCAAACTTTTCAGACCATCTAGTCACTTACTCCCTCCATCCCAAAAAGAATGCTACACTTCACTATTCGAAAATCACGGAAACTTTTGTTTATTTGTGTGTTTTTATTCATTATGATAAAATAAAATATTCTTGTCACCTCTTATTTTGTAGAACTTTTGATGTAGTTTTTTAATATGTAAGTTTTATTATTTATTTCTATACCAATCTTTGAATAAAATGAACTGAAAAAACTTGGAATTTTGCTTCGCTTTGCGTAATGTGGCATTTTTTTGGGACGGAAGGAGTATATCATGTGAGGAAGCAAAAACCTGTTATTGTTCTTTCAAATCAATGAATACCTGAAGAAATGTTGTAGCCGCTCATTCGCAGCAACCTGAATGCCAAACCACAGGTGGAAGCATCCATAAAGATCTCTTCATCCCCCTGCAACCAGCGGCTTTTTTACCACAAGGGAATGGGAGCTTGTTTGAGATAAAACTATCTTTCATCTACCAGAAAATTACAATAATGAACAGTAGAGCTTTTAGAAAGCTACCTGTAAGTTTCATCTAACACAGTTCGTATTTCTGCATTGTAATGGCGACTAATGCCCAATTTCTCAACATTATCAACAACACAGAGCCGTGCATATACATCAAGAGGGTATACTGCTGGAACTGAAATATTGAATAAGAAAAGTGTTACAACTTGAAACAATGTAAGAATGGATGTGCAGGCCAACCAAAGTTGATGAAAGTACCCTCGTTCCCACATGTTTCCAAAACAGAACTTAGGTAACTAAAACATTCAGGATCATGGTGATGAATAAGTGCAGAAGCAGTAGTTGAAGGTGAATTGAACAAAGAGCCATTCTTCCTTTGGAACTTCATAGTTTTTCCCCAGTCTTGCAGCAATCCTAATCCTTCAGATACATATGCAAGGTAAGCTTCATACTCCTTTGAGCTATTTCCTTTGCACCTATTGAAAAAATAGATAAGAAAATCTTCCACTTAAAAGTCCCAAATTTTTTTTATTTCCACTTTTGATACCCAAATTTCCCCCACTTAGGTGCACAGCTATAATTTCTAACCACTATAGTCTATATGTACATCACTAATCTGGCAAAAACTCATAAGGATATAGCATTGGGCATATAAGTGATCGGCAGGCCGTAGGCCAGAGAGTGGCAAGATATCCATAGTCATGCACTAAAAGTGGAAAAATGAAATTCATAGACCAAAAGTGAAAATAACCCTGATCATTATCACAAAAAAAAGTGGAATATTTTTTGTTAGATAACAAGATGCCTTTTTGGACTCAACCACTTGATTGTTCAATCAATCAATGTTGCATCTAACTAGATACGAGTGATGCGCATAAGCTTGTAATGTTTTAGCTTCTTCATTATTCAATGATTAGTTTAACTTGATAGGTCCACCTAGACACCACACAAAAAACACTAATTCATGTGTGTATGTGCGTATAATAAGAGAGCTATTTCAATTATGGAAAGTAAACTTTGCTGGTATACCTGTGAAGCTCCACATCCCTCTTATGAAGCAATGCATTTAAGGTTCTTGGGTCTAAGCGAAGCTTCAAAGACAAAGCACTAAGACAATCGAGCATCCCAGAAAATAGGATATAAAAACCAGTGGGGTTGATTTGGTTGTTATCTGCTTCAGATGCGAAATTTAACTCAATGAAAAGTAAACCTGAAAGATAAGATGAACCAAGACCATTAGCCATTATAAAAAAAAAAAGTACTCCTTATGTCCCTTATTTAACTCTCATTTTGAATTTAAACGTTTTTTAATAAAAGAGAAACTTTGTGCTTGAGAATTATTCAGAGGGGAATGTGGTTCAATACCTTTATTTATTTGTTCTTCACCGGTTCCCCATCTTTTCAGAGCCAGAACACATGCTAGAGTTGATAATAGAACATATTTAAGAAATATGGGATAAGCATGATGAAGACTCCATGATCCGTCTTGATTCTGATTATTTAGCACCCAATCCAAACATCCAGGAAAACAGGGATGTTCTGAGGAATGTGGAGCAGGGACCATAGCCACCCATGCAGTGTCATATGGAGAAACAGAAAGTTCAACACTTTCAAATAATTCCCGAATCTTTTCTTTGCTCGTTTGAATGCCCTGCATATGCTTCTATTTTTATTACTTGTAATTGGCAAATATTTGAAAATTAGAAGAGTGAAGGTCAATAAAGAGAATGGGTCACATGACATCTTACTGAGAAAGGTTTAGATACTGATCTATCTCTACCACTGCAAGTGCCCAGACTAGCTGCATAACAATTAAAGCTCTCAATAATGATTCCTAAATGTTGGACACAAGTTCAAACTCTTGGTTTCACAAAGTTTATAATGGACAAACATACATTTGGAAACAAACATGACACTGAGCAAACAAAATGACAAAATCCCATGCAAACAAAGAAATCCTACAAAAATGTCAAGAAAAGTTCTCAGTAGTTGAAGCGAAGAGAAGATTCCCAGATTTTTTTAGTATTACAGAGTATGAATTATTTGCTAGGATGACACGAAATTAATTTACTCTTGGAATGATTTTTATTATTGCACACAAAAATTATTTTAGAGTCAATTTAGAGATAATTTTTGGGTCAGTTGAAAAGTATTTTATTAAGCCAGTTGAAAACAAGTCACATTTTATTCGACAGATTCTTTTTCACACTCGCAAATATTTTTTTTTCACAAAAGATATCTTGTTTGAATTATTCCATACATCTCTTGACATAAAATATTTCCGGCTCAGTTTCTATCTCCCCTACTCAACAGAATACCCAAAATAATTCATTTGACTCCTACTCTAACCATTTTACTCATTCAAAACATTCCGGACTCCGGAGCATGCTAGGGATTCAACTTACCTATAATCATCCCGGCGTTAATTTTCCGTTACAAAAGAATTTTACCATTGAATAATTCATTAAGCATTTTTATTTAATCGATCAAACAGCATATACGTTCATCCGGATTTGAATATTTTCTAGTTTAATCGATTAACGGGTCCTTTTACATTGTCTTCGACAACTTCCAAATTTGAAATTTTGCTTATTTAATCAATTAAATAACTAAGTTAATCTAATCGATCAAAAAGCAGTATGCAAGCTTCTAGACTTCAGTTCTGCAGCCTCTAACATTTAATTCATGCAACAAAAAAGTTTAAGCGAGTTTTTGTGCATTTTTTTACATTTTTCTTATTCATATTATAGAGTATGCTATATGATTACAACAACAACAACCCACTACTAGTAAAATCCCAAAAAAGTAGGGTCTGGGAGGAGTGAGTGCACACAAACCGTATCCCTACTTAGAAATAGAGAGACTATTTCCAAGAGACCCCCAACTCAAAGACAAAAGAACAGTCAAGCAGGATGAACATGCATATCAGAATATGCTATATGATTATGCTTCATAAATTTCCATAGGTGAAAGAATATACTCTAGATAATACTTAAATAGACATGGAAAACAGAACAACTAACCTGAAAAAGAAATGCACATAGTGCTCAAAGTTGGACGTCGTTTGAAATGGATTGCCGCATTATGTGCAAAGGGTATGGTAGTAGCAATTGCAAGAGACGGAAACATTATGGTGGAAAGGGTTTGATGAACTTAGGTACTTCAGTTTGTGCTTGGGATGAAGATTTCAATATCTTGTGTCCTCTTCTTCTGCTAATATTACTAGCTTCACACTGAAAGGAGCATATAACAGCAATGGCATGACCAAAGACCAAACACCGTAGCTAAACATGCATTTATTGAGCAAAGCAATTGCTAAATCCCTGCAAGGCTTTGATGCCAATCATGCCATACAATTTATACTACAATGAGGAAACCATGAAGCAGATCAAGTAAGTGGCTGCTTTTTACGGCAGAGTAAGGATAGATGGGCCAAGATTTATTTACATTTATCCTGGTGGATTTTCAATCCCAATTAGCATTTGCTCTAATTTTTTGTTTCTTTTTTTAAATTTATATTTATATATATATATATATATATATATATATATATATATATATATATATATATATTAGAGAGGTGCAACTAAGTGTGCTGCACACTTCTTGGCAGGACTGAGCGCAAATTATTAGAGAGGTGCAACACCATTTAGCCTAACCTGATTTCTTAGACTTAGGAGGTTTAGGATTCTTAACATTCTCAGAACCTCCTCTAGTATTAGCAGCTAGAGTATCCTTCAAAAGATTTTTTTCTTTCTCACTCAAATTAGAAGAGGAAGGCGCATCATCACCCAACAATGGGCTGGTGTACCATTTACGTGAGAAAGAATGTTCTTCATATTCAACTTCTTAATTATATCCAAGAAGGCCATAATTAACTTCCCCAAAATTAATGTTAGAATTAGAATGAACGGAGTTAGACGAACAA